CCCCAAAACCCCAAAACCCCAAAACCCCGTGATCAATAATTATAGCATAACTTTGAATTTTATATAATATTATAATAATTAAATGGAATCAATGGAAGTAGTCTTTAATAATTACTTAATTACACAGACGCCAGACATTCTAGACAAGACTATAGCTTTTGGTTCTTTGACTTCAGACTAATAAGTAAATACAATAAATCTAATATGAAATTAGCGAGAAGTCATGATCTTAGGTGACTAGAAAGGCACTATTGAGATATTTCTGTCAGTCTCTCAGAATCCATGGAGATACATAGAAACTAAAGGTTCAGTTGCAGCGCTTAAGATTGGCTCATTATTCAACAACAATGAGGTAAGTCTCTTCATGAAATTAAATGCTTATAAAGAACCGATTGATAGTAGTTACTCTGGAAGGAGTATTCTATATGTTTGACATATTTCATCTAACATCGGATTATGATGCTGAAAGACTCTATGATAAGTACAATGACAGTGTACAGAAAATTCAAGAAAGAGGGTTGATTGAGGAACAAGATGCAGAGCAGTTGATGAATGAAATTGATATAGAACTAGATGCTGAATTTGATCAAAATTTGATATACGGAGGTCGCAGTGGTCTGGGAAAGAATACGAGCGAGATCAACTTAGATTCAAGCTCCGGCAATATAGGGAATTAGAGCATTGTAATATTACATTAATTTAACTATGGTAGTAAGGAGTAGGTCACTCAGGCATTGGGGGGTTTCTGCATCAATATAACATGAGAAAGTCAAGTCAAAACACAGCCTAGTTCTTTAACAACAACGACTCGGCAAATATCAACAATAATTAGATGTCTTCTGTTCTCAGTCATGGTCTAAAATCCAATGATGGAAACAACAACAGTCGTCTGAATATGCGTATAGGCAGTGGCAACTACTTCAAAAGAAGTGACAGCAACAATACCAATCACAATTCGAGGAAAGGTAGCATCAACTATGAACTGAAGTAGATTGAAGGGAGTGAGAGCAGACCTGGGGCATTCATTAATATGAAGCTAGCTGATATGAATGCGAAGACATTTGAATATGATTACATGGACAGAGTTCCTGGTAATTGCTGCATGATGGAGATCAAGCAGATATATGATAGCTATTATCAGATTACTGAGCCTGGCTAGGTATAGAAACCAAAAGATACTATATTTATCGGCACCTATGATGGGAGTTTACACTCTATGAGAATGGAGACGAAGAAAGAGGATAATTCTGAAAGTTATATCTTGATCAATCTGAAAAAGTGGACGTTTTCTTACCCTATAACATCCTTACTGCTTTTTGACTATTACAACTACCAGAATGATGCGATTAAGTCTTCAAAGTTTAGCAATCTTTCCAGTTCAAACTAGAAAAACAAATCCTATGGAAATTTATCGCATCTGCAGAGCCCAGGTGGAAGTAATAGCCAGGTATTGAATAATTTTTCTAGAACTATAATGGTTGGTAAAAATGCTGACACTACTGATGCTGAGGACAACTCTAGAAAGGTCGGTTTGTTTAGTAGTCAGCAACAATAAGAGTAGCAGTCTGGTTTCAATCCAGAGTTCTACTAGTTCATGCTCTCTTCATATTAAACTTAACAAGAGTCATATAACTAAGATCCTTAATAGAAGATTAACCAGGCCACTCAAAAAATACCGAAAAAATCTACAATTATAAAGAACTACCATGCAAATGCAATTTTAACTTAAATGGCTTCAAAATCCTATAACGACTGTCTAATGATCATATCATTCGCTAATAATTCACTGATACCAACTTTTTACTCTAATAAGCATTCAGCAGATGCTGATAATGTCAAGTTGATCAGTGACATCACCAATAATATCAGTGAATTCTCAAAGCCATATCTATCATATATACACAACAACCCCTAGGGTGAATTGGAAAAATTATCTGACCCTAATTATCTTAAAAGCAAGTCAAAAAATGATAAGAAAACAGTCTAGTTTGCAGTAGCTACAAATGATGGGGGGCTTATTACGATGAAGGCCTACTAACTCAAGAATAAAGATGAGCACCCACAGATAGATACTTAACTTACTATAAAGGGAACAAACTAGGTCTACTGTTAGAAGAAGCAGGAGTATATGTTTTCTAATCAGATCATGAGTATTTCTAATGAGCAAATACAGATAAAGATAGTGGATATAGAGCGAGAGTAAATCTACCTGAAGGATGCTTTGATGCTAGCTTCAGGAAATGGTTCTATTCTATTTCAGATCATTGATAAATCACATAAATCTGACTTATTACTTTCAGATGCTACTTCAACAAGCAAGCAGTAATTTCCCAATTACTTCTAATTCGAACTGGACATGCGAGTCAAGGCTGTTAAGGTAGGAAGCATAAGATTATATGGTAATGCAGAAGAAGCTACTTAATGCTTATTTGTTTTCACCTATGAGGACTTTGCTCTGGTTTTTTATGATTTCTTATTTGAGATAAACACAATGCACATTAGCTTTAAGAACAAGATGACTGAGATGAAAAATATGAACTCAAGTAGTTTGGGAGTCAATGCAAGTTCTAATAATTATAATGCCTTGAAGTACTAGAAGCAAGAATTGAAAAATTTTCTAAGTAAAGGGAGTAGTGTTTAGAGCAATACTCAAAAAGTGAAATAAATAAAAAACCCCATTATTTTAAAGCTTTTGGAATCTATCAATCAAGGATCTTGAACAGAAATGATTATAATTTATCTGATTATTTATTTATTTTTGAAATATTATTTAATATTTTTATTCTAATGACACTTTATGATGCTCACTCTCGAATTCCGGGGTTTTGG